AGAGAGAGAGAGAGATTCTCTATTCAAATCCGTGCATATGACGATTAAAATTTAAGTAATTTACCTACAAAAAAAGAAAAAAAATTGAAATGGGTCAATTTTAGATGAAAATACACGAAAGATTGGTGAACATGTATTTTTTATTTTTTTCCAAAATTACCTCTCGATCTGAGAATGGCATCATCAAACTACTTTTCTATTATTTTTTGTTTATTTTTTTCTTTAGTAGGGCAGGGCCCTAGTGTGAGGGACAGTGCCCAGTCTAGAAGGCAGTCCGAGGTTGGCATCCTCGAACCACCTTATTTCTTAGCATTTAAATGGGCTAATACGGCCCAAGGATACCAACCTCGAACTGCCTTGAAGAGCATTAGAGAAGGCAAACCAAGAAGGGCCAGCTTGTACCACCTCTGAATGCTTAAGAAAGTTAATCTTGGCGGTTCAAGGATGCCAACTTTAGACCGCTTTGAAGAGCACCCCAGAAGCGGTTCGATGATGCAATTATTGCATTGATTGGGCTCTTCCCCAAACATTAAAGCATGACGCTCCTGTCAAAAAACCCAAAAAAAAAGAATTAAAATGTGGTCCGAGGATGATTCCATAGACCGAAGAGCAATTGTGGGAAAATAAAAAACCTCAGATTCAATGTAATTTAAATCCAAAATTGACACATTTTGTATTTTAGTACTTTTTTGTGTGCGCGTGCAATTCTATCTAAAATTTATAAGCTATGCGAGAGAGAGAGAGAGTGAGAGAGATTCAAGAAAAAGTTCAAAAAGTTGAGAGATTTTTTAGTGATTTGGATTTGATACTACAAAACGCCTATAGGCGAAAATGAACAGTGATTTCTTCTACCCTCATCACCATCCAAACTTCATCGCACGACCACGATTGTCTGTTAGTGTTTCATTTTTTATTTTATTCTATAAATCGATATAACCTGAAATTTGGAGAGTGTGTTTATAAAAAATAGGCGAATCTATGAAAAATATCAAAAAAATATTTTACATAAACAAAATTGATCAAAATACCCTCGATAATATTTTGGTCAATTTATTTTTGTGAATTATTATTTTTATCTATTTGTAATATATGCGGATGTATAGACTA